AATATTTGATGATCGAAGGAACTCGATTTCTACTTTCTACTGCATGTGTTTGTGTTTATATTGGAGGAGGTATCTCGATTTCTCCTCTCTACTGCATAATAACTTGAAATGGGTGGTGTTACCCAATTTGTGAGCTACTGGGTCTGATGTTTTCTTTCAACTTTGAATGCATCAGGTGTGAAATTAGACACTTTCAGTTTTGTGAAGGTATTTTTCTTTCAGGTGTTTCATCGAGCACTTGGAGTGCATTGTTCTCCTCCTTCATTTTCTGATTTATTTATTAAGATTTATCACCATTGGAAGTATACACTTCCAATTTTCTTTCCAGAGACATCCAATTCAGCAAATAGATAAACATGTATAGAGATAGGAATATGAAATTAAGGAGTTGGAATTAAAATAAGCGAAAATTGTAAGAGATATGGATACAGACATAAGGAATCGGAAGTGCTCTGCCTATCCATTATTGTTCCCTTTACCTGATTCCACTCCTCACATTCTTGTGCTTCCAAGTCCTCTACCTATCCTCCCACGATCCTTCCAGAAAAGGTGATTTTACATTGTAAATCGATTGAAGACATTGCTGATTATAAGTGTATTCTAACTTCTCTCGATATTTCCATATCTACCATTGATTTTACACTTCAGATTTAGCTCCGTTCAGTGGATTCACAACACTTTCATTGAAGATTTTAATCAGAAACACTTCCTCTCAAAGTTTAATTCGGTGAATTATGTTTTCTCTGTAAAGCAGAATCAATTGACAGGGGATTTTTTTGAGATCGAAAAGAAGGATGTATTGGTGATCCGAAGCATGAGGAACTTGCAACAACAAGAAGGAGGACATCGTCTCCATCGGAAATTCGGACAAGGAGGACACCAAAACCCATATCAGTGAGGGAAGCCTAGATGAAGAAAAACATCGATATGGGTTTTCCATCGATCCATTGTGGTGCTTCCGGTGGTTGTTTATCCGGCGATAAAACAAAGCTGAGGGTAGTGATCGGTGATTATCAAGCTTCGTTGATTGAAGCTTTGAAGTGAAATTTTTTGTGGTGGGTGTTCTTTAAGTGCAGGTTTGATGAGAGAGAGAGAGAGAGAGAGAGAGAGAGAGATTTTATATATTAAATAATCATATTTAATTTTTCTTTTTTTTTTTAAAAAAAAAAAGAAAAGAAAAAGCATCATAAATGGTCCCTGTGGTAGTGAAATGACGAAAATGCCCTTCAGTTAACGGACAAAACTTAACGGAGTTAGCAATAAGGATCAATCGTCAAAAGTTTTGAAACACAGGGACCATCTATGATGTTTTTAAACCACGGGGACTAAACTTCAGATTTGGAAAAACCACAGGGACCATTTATGATATTTTTTCTATTAGAAATATATGATAATATAAAGATATTTTAAAACTATATCATTTTAATTGTTTTTATATGCGGGTTATACATGAAAATAATTAAATTAATTTCTTTTATCATGATTATTGTTTCAAATATCAACATTGTTTTCAATGCAACATAAATACATAATATAATTTTTAAATTATTTAATCTAAAGTTGTCGTTAATTAGGAAAATATCATTATTGCAAAAAATAGTTTTTATTTAACGTTTTATTAATTTGACATTTCGATTTACATTTTATTTTTAACCCTATATTATTTTGTAAATGTTTAAAAATAGTCTTTGAACCATTTTCATGTTTATTTGACATAAATCAATAAATTTAAGTATATTTTATTTTGAAAGTTGAATAGTTAGTACTAAATTTAATATTAGAAACGAGCTTAATGTACTAAAATCATATTATTTAATTAGTTGGAATTTGAAGAGTTGTGCAGCCAATATGCTAAAAGAAATCAATAATATAAATATATTTGAATGTTGGCTTTGAAGAGTTGCAATTAAAATTAAAATTACAAATTAGTTTAATTATTAAAAAGGAAAATTTACATAGTTAGTTAGTTGAAAGTTGATAAATTATATAAGTTTCAAATCAATAAATGAGTTTAATGTACTAAGAAACAAATTAATTATTGCTAATTAGTTGGAAGTTAAAATTTTAATATGTTTCAAATCAATATATATATTTTATGTGAAAATTTAATATGTTTCAAATCAAATTAATTATTGCTAATTAGTTGGAATTCAATAATGAAGTATATATTTTATGTGAAAATTGGCAATGAAACGCTTTTTTTAAAATTGCAAATGAGTTTACAGTATTAAAATTAAATTAGTGATAATTAATTAGTTGTGAATTGATAAGTTGTATATGTACAATTACCCTAATCTATGTATCATCTTTAGAACTGCCAAGGATACCAAAAAGAATTTCCTTCCCGCAAAATCATTTCACAGATTCAACAAGAAACAGCTAGAAGATATCCTCAAGCTCACTGAAAAATCGAAATTCACTACCGATGAAGTGAAGCTTCAAATCATAAGAAGAATCAAATGGGTGTTCGTTGTGAGGAAATTATGGTGGCTCCTTATCAAGTTTTTCAAACTTGACAAGCGAAGAAGATTAGCTACGAGGTCACTTGGGGTTAAATTGTTGATACATGAAAGTGACCTTCGGCAACTAAAATAATTATTGTGGATGCGAAGAACTGAATTGATGAAGAAGTGAAGATATGTTTTGTGCCGAAGAGTTGCTAGTTGTGATATACCGGAGAATGCATGAAGACCGTAGATGCTAAAGGAGACTTAGCGAAGAGTTGACCGGAGTTTGTCTTTAGTGATACCAAAGTGTCAATGTAATGATCAAGTTTTCCTAACAAAGTGTGTTGGGTTGGTTTTGTTAGTTCCAGGTGTGGGAAGCATGGACGTCTATATCAGTATTACTTTTGTATTATCCATTTGTAGACATGCACTATTTTCTCCTATAAATAGACGATCTTGTTGATCGATAGGAGTGTGTCTAATCTTACTTCTTTTGTAATTTTCTCATATTGAAATACAAGTCTCCTAATCTCCAATATCTTATGCTTTATTGATCATCACTGAATACCTTGTGTTTGATTGCAAACCATGTTATGATTCAACAAGTATCTTTTGACTTGCTTATATTTAGATTGTATGTTGTTCTTATATTTCCTTTATAATTTCGCTAACTTATTATTGTTAAATTTTATTAAGATCCATGAGATTAACTTAAAATTATGCACCATAATCTCTTTATCATAAGTTATTCTCTCAACAGTTTTACATTACCTATTTTTGGGTTGATCTTCATAAACTATGTTTCTTGGAGTTAGCAACATTTCATAAACACATTGCATAGACATTTAGGGCTAGAAGCATTTTAAGAAACTAAGAACTAAAGAGAGAAATATAGAAACTAAAGTCATGTGTAATAGTTTACATAGCATGTTTGATGTTAAAATAATTAATAATAGTTATTAAAAGACAATGAAAAGTCATTGAAAAATATGAAAAGACATGGGGTTTCAAATCAATGTGGAACATAGAAATATGCCTCTGTTATAG